GCAGAAATAGAGTTTGTGAGAGTGTGAACAAGAGAAACGTCGACAGAGAAAGAGAGAGAGAAAAGCACTTCACGATCCCTGAACGTGGTTCATCGATCGAGGGGTGCACGCACCCTGTACCTCTATACGCATATGGCCAGAGAATTACATACTTTTCAAAATAAATTTTAAATAACAACGGCTTCACTCGGAGTTTTCTTTTAAAAAAACGCCGAAATGAAAAATAAAATATGAAACGTTTGTGCCATATTTATGGTTGTGCGTCAATCTCCTTTTCAAACAAACAGAATTGCGGGTGAATAGAGAAGCCCAGTTAAACCACTCGACTCTATCCAACGAGTGCTCATTTCGATAGTATTTGGAAATGCTCACTTACACATTTGCTTTCCAGTTTACGATCTTGGCAATTGTTGTAACATTAATTCGCAGCTGCAGTCTACCGTTCTTAATTTTCACTTCTATTATACCATTTTGAGATTTGCACAATTTTTTACAATTTTAAATGAATTCATTTCCCGATGAGAGGCGCAGGGCTCGAACTAGGTCCGTAAGTCCCGTAAAAGTCCGTAACTTTGCTTGAAGTCCGTTAGAGTCCATTTTTTGAAAAAGGGTCCGTAAATTGTACAAAATAATTTGGATAATTTTAGAGAAATTTCAATTATCTTTAGAAATAATTAAATTCTTCTCCAAAATTCAATTATTTTCAAAACTTTTAATAAAATTCTTAACAAAATTTCAATTATTTTCAAAAATTTTCCTCAATTCAATGATTTTTAAAAGGTATCTACTATTCTAATAAAATTTTCCAAAAGAATTCAATTGTTTAAAAAATAATTTAATAAAATTCCACACAAACATTTAATTATTTTCAAAAAATAATAAAAATTTTACAGGAATTTCATTATTTACAAATTTTTTTATAAATTTCTTCGCAATCCTTCAATTATTTTCTTAAATAATAAAATTTTTACAGGGATTCAATTATTTTGGTAAATAATAAAATTCTTATTAGGAATTCAATTATTTTGATAAATAACACTGGTTTACAGTGAAATTGTCAATCGAACAAAACATTTTTTTTTCGAATAGTAGGTGTTTTTTGAGTAAGAAAATCATAGTTTTAATTTTTTCCCCTCGTGCAGTTTTTCTGTAGCTTCAAATTTTGGATTTTCGAGGTTAAACGTCACTTAAACTTACCAGTAGGAAAATTAGCTTATTAAAATATAATAAATGAGGTATCATTGGAAAGGTTATTAAATTACCTTTCGATCCATAGGTCACAGAATAAAATACAATGAAAATTGAGAAAGTTACAGTCGATTAAAGATCAAATTGCATGCCAATTTTGATGATTTGTTGACACTTAAGTAACTTCTACTATTTTTTTCTACATTAAACAGGAAAAAATGTTTTGATTTTAATTTTTGTATTGATAGACTATATGATTACAAAAATTTTAAGCCCTTGTGGTCCTCGATTGGATTAAAAATGACAATTCTACACTAAATTTAGTGAACGAAACTACTTTCTTTATTTTTAGAATCCCATAAACATTTGCAGCAAAAATTCAAGTAATAAAATTTATTTAAGCCCTAAAGTGACTAACATCACTAATCAAGGGTTTCTGATGTCGTAGATTTTAAATCGAATATTGGTTTTTTAAATTTCAAAATGGCGGATACAATATGGCGGACAAGTTTTTAAAAATCGATTAAATTTGTCTTAAATTCGTTACTCGGGGGTTTTCAGAGTCGCTGATTACGAATCCGATGTCGGATTTCGAAAATTCAAAATGGTAGATTCATAATGGTGAACTAGTTTTTTAAAAATCCATCGACTTCGCACCTATTGGATCCACCATTTTGAATTTTTGAAATCTGACATCCGATTCGTAATCAGCGACCCCGAAAACCCCTGAGTAACGAATTTAAGACGAATTTAATCGATTTTTAAAAACTTGTCCGCCATATTAGATCCGCCATTTTGAAATTTGAAAAACTAACATTGGATTTAAAATCTACGACATCAGAAACCATTGATTAGTGATGTTAGTCACTTTAGGGCTTAAATAAATTTTATAACTTGAATTTTTGCTGCAAATGTTTATGGGATTCTAAAAATGAAGAAAGTAGTTTCGTTCACTTAATTTTAGTGTAGAATTGTCATTTTTAATCCAATCGAGGTCCACAAGGGCTTAAAATTTTTGTAATCATGTAGTCTATCAATAAAAAAATTGAAATCAAAACATTTTTTTCTGTTTAATGTAGAAAAAAATAGTAGAAGTTACTTAAGTGTCAAAAAATCACCAAAATTTGCATGCAATTTGATCTTTAATCGACTGTAACTTTCTCAATTTTCATTGAATTTTATTCTGTGACCTATGCATCGAAAGGAAATTTAATAACCTTTCCAATGATACCTCATTTATTATATTTTGATAAGCTAATTTTTCTACAGGTAAGTTTAAGTGACGTTTAACCTCGAAAATGCAAAATTTGAAGCTACAGAAAAACTGCACGAGGGGAAAAAATTAAAACTATGATTTTCTTTCTCAAAAAACACCTACTATTCGCAAAAAAAATGTTTTATTCGATTGACAAAAAAAAGTTATTAATTTCTAAACCTGTGTAATAAAACTCATTGCAGAATTTCAATTATTTTTAATACAATTTTAATCGAATTCCTCGAAAAAATGTAATTCTTTTAAAAAAATTTATTAAAATCCGTCAAAAGAATTCAATTATTTAAAAATTAATTCATAAAATTCTTTATGAGAATTTAATTTTGAGAAACATGCAATTATTAAATTAATTGTTTTTTTGTCTTTAAATAATTCAATTCTAGGAGAATTTTCTCATAAGAATTGATTTAAAAATGGATTTCAGTTAAAATTTTAGATTATAATTTGAATATTAAAAGCATTAGAGCGTAAATTTTTGGAAATAATTGAATTTTGAAAAGGTTTCAGATTAAAATCTTTGAAAATTTGAATTTTTCATATTTTTAACTAACAATTCTGTGGAATTAATTTTTTTTGAGATAGTTTAATTGCGGATTTTTTTTATACTATTTGAAGTTTTTATTTTCTAATATATATTTAATATTGAAGAATTTACGAATAATTGAAATTTAGTAAAATTGAATATTGTAAAGAAATGAATTTGAAAATTGTCAAAGAACTTTTTCGAAAATTATTAAAAATAATCCATTTATAGAAGAATTTTAGTTAAAAATTCTTGAAAATAATAATTGAATTGATAATGATTTTATCACTCGGTCATCATTAATTATCAAAAAACATGAAGAAATCGATCACTCTGAGTCGAAGACTCGGAGTTATCGATTTCTTCATGTTTTATAGTTATGGAAATTTTAATTTATAGTTTTAAGTAAATTGTTCTTTTATTTGACTCGGACTGGTTATATTTTTGTCAGTTGGTCCGTAATTTTTCATTTTTGGTCCGTAAAGTCCGTATTTTTAAATACTTTCACTGGTTCGAGCCCTAGAGGCGGAAGAGGGATTTCTTTTTTCTTAAATTGGGAACAATGTGCATTTTATTGTTCTGCATAGAATGAATTCTATGCAAACAGGAAACTAGAAGTGATAGGTAATTTGGAAAATAGCAGCTAATTAATTTCTTTGCATTACGGCTTATTTCTCACGTGGCTTAAGTCATCAAAAATCTTCTTTGTTTGAATCTCCGGCCTTTAATGTTTCATTCGCTGTTAAGCTCGCGATGACTTCCTCTTAAGGGGAACGTTCACCTCGTTATCACAGACACGATCGAAATTCCTGCACGAAGGTTACCAACGAGCATTAAGCAATATACCAAGCAAACAGCGAATACAGCGTTTCTTGGAATCGCTTCAGCTCTCAACTCATCCTCGAAGCCCTGTTGCTCTTTGCCCTCGAAACTCCGAATCTCTTCCGTTTTCACAGGGAAAATTTAAGACCAGTCATTGTAAATTGGATTCTTTCAGTTCCAGTTTATTTTTTACTGTCTCTTTTACTTTCTCTTTTTTCCTCACAGGCGGCTTCATTTATCTTCTTTTTTTAATTGTTTTGGTTTTATTTTCTTTAATCATTTATGTAATTCTTGTTTCTTTATTTCTTATTTTAACTTGTTAATTTTTTCAGGTTTTCACATTATTCTTACTATCGTCTTGTCTTTAGCTTATTTATTTTATATATTGGATGTTGTTTTTATTTATTTTATTTTTACATTTGTTTCTCACTTTGATATAAGTTTCGTTTAGCTTTTTGTATGGGAAAAACCGCCATGAAAATTGACGATTTTGTCGTGTCACAACACGACGCTTTAAATATATCGTGGCGCGATACGATACATTAATATTTGTGAATTTTTCGAAAAGTTTCGTTGTTGCGACAAAACTGTTTCGTGACGGTCCCTGATATTTTGGATTCATTTATTATGTGTTGGTAAGTTTCATTATTCGCCACCAGTGTAATTTTGCAGGAGAAATGTAATTTCATTTTAACAGTCCGATCGAAAATAAAGAATGAAGATAGTAAAAAGCACCCACATGTAAAACAAGTGCGAAGACCTCCGTATTCGTGACCTTGGTCTCTTAGAGTATCAGAGTGTGGGCACCCAGGTGAAACATGGTCGTTCAGGCGGGTATGAGCGATTTAAATTAAAGAGTCTGTCTTTATGCGGGAGAGCGAATATGATGCTAAAAGAAGAAGAAAAGAGAAAGAAGAAAATGGGAAGAAGGGTAAACGGTGTTAAAAAGTGAGTTCAGATTACGTCGTCCTATACGCGTGAGAAACGTAGTTGGTTTCGCCTCAAAAGCTTTTTCTCTAATTTTTCACCGTTCATTATAATTTCGCACTAATTAAATTCGACTCAGAAATCGTCTCAGAATACCTTCCTCAACTTCCCTACATTTAATGACGACTAATTTTTCTCTGTTCCTGTTATTGATATTATTTTTCTATTTTGACGCATGAGTTGACCTTTGTTCTTTATTTGTTGCAGGGATGCCGGTTGACTGAAGATGGCCTCTCCAACACCATCATTGGAATCGCGCGCGAATTCCCTTGGCTCCCTGGCTTCGCTCTCTCCGCTGACGGTGAGTGGCAGTTCTCCACCAGCAAGCGACTCAGCGATCTGTGACGTCGATACCTGTGATATCTGTTTGGATAGTGCGAAACCCGGAGACGCACCGTGCCCGCGTTGTCGATTGGGAGGCGCTGGCGGCAACGGGGTTCGTTGCACCGGCTGCAAATCAACCGAATCAGACGCAGTAGCAAGGTGCTTCGATTGCGCCAATTTCCTCTGTCCCAATTGTGTGATGGCTCATCAATTCATGCATTGCTTCGAAGGTCACCGAGTATTGAATCTTGGTGACTCGAAATTGGATTCTGCTACAGCGAATAGCGAGAGCAAGAACAATCTTGTCGTGAACGGGGGCAGCAATGGCGAGAAGATTCTTTTTTGTCCACGACACAAAAGCGAGCTCCTGAAATATTTTTGCAGACACTGTACAGTGCCAGTTTGTAAAGAGTGCACCATTTCTGATCATCCGGCGCCACTTCATGATTGCGCCCACATCTCGGAAGTAGGACCCCAACAACTTGAGGCTGTTGCGAGAATCGTACAGGAGTGTCGAGCAAAAGCAGCCGATGTTCGTGCTGCCGTGAAAGCTGCCGATCATGGCGCAGCAAGATTGCAAGTTCAGTATCACAAAGCACAAAACGAGATCAACGATACATTCCAATTTTACCGATCCATGCTGGAGGAGCGCAAGCAAGAATTGCTCAAGGAGCTCGAGTCCGTTTTCTCGGCGAAGCAAATATCTCTCGGCGTTGTCACGCAAAAAGCAAACGAAATGGCTGACAAGATCCATCAGACTTGCGAATTTGTTGAAAGACTGACCAAACACACAACTGTCACCGAAGTCCTTATGGTGAAGAAACTCCTAGATTCGAAATTACAAATTCTTTTGAGTTACTCTCCCGACATTGCTAATCAAAACGCTGATCTTGAATTCGTCAGTAATTTCCAAGCGATTCAGGTCGGTGTCAGGAATACATTCGGCTACGTACGCAGCAACAGTGAGAGTAACGCTGGACCCAGTAAACAGCCACCAATCGCGAGACCAACATCACTTTCCAATGGAAGCAGTAACAACAGCAGTGGACCAGGAAGTGCTGGATCATTAGGGGGATTACTACTCGATCGGCCCTACAGCAATGGACTAGTCACAAGTACAAATTGCGTTTCCACGTCACCATCACCTTTTGAGAATAACAGCGTCATCTCGAAGAGGTTCAGCTCCGCAAACAGTCTCGGACCATTCTCGACCACGATCAGTGATCTCGGAATGAATCCTTACGAGAAATGGAGCAACGGCGGCAATGACGCATATCCAGTCTCCGTGACGAGCAACGATCACTTCCCTCTGCCAGCAGTAGCAACCGCTACAGCGGCTCCTGGTGACTCCGTCCTCGATCTCACATCGAAGCTCATGTCCTCCGCTGCCATATTCCCACCAAAGTCACAAATCAAACGACAGAAAATGATCTATCACTGCAAGTTTGGTGAATTTGGAGTCATGGAAGGTCAATTCACAGAACCGTCAGGAGTCGCAGTCAACGCTCAAAATGACATTATCGTGGCGGACACCAACAATCACCGAATCCAAATCTTTGACAAGGAAGGAAGATTCAAGTTCCAGTTTGGTGAATGCGGCAAACGCGATGGGCAATTACTCTACCCAAATAGGGTCGCTGTTGTTCGTACGTCCGGAGATATTATCGTCACTGAGCGCTCGCCAACGCATCAAATTCAAATCTACAATCAGTACGGACAATTCGTCAGGAAGTTTGGAGCCAATATTCTCCAACACCCACGTGGGGTGACTGTCGATTCCAAGGGTAGAATCGTCGTCGTCGAGTGCAAAGTTATGCGGGTTATTATCTTCGATCAAGGTGGCAATGTACTGCAAAAGTTTGGCTGCTCCAAGCATCTGGAATTTCCAAACGGTGTCGTTGTCAATGACAAGCAGGAGATCTTTATCAGCGACAATCGTGCCCACTGCGTCAAGGTCTTCAACTACGAGGGAGCTTACCTCCGACAAATTGGCGGCGAAGGCATCACCAATTACCCAATTGGTGTTGGCATCAACGCAGCCGGCGAGATCCTCATTGCGGACAATCACAACAACTTTAATTTGACCATCTTCACGCAGGACGGCCACCTCGTCTCGGCACTCGAGAGCAAGGTGAAACACGCCCAGTGCTTCGATGTCGCACTCATGGACGACGGTTCCGTTGTCCTCGCCAGCAAGGACTACCGGCTCTACATCTACCGCTACGTGCAAGTCCCTCCAATAGGCATGTAGACCAAACAGTGAGGACGGTTCGCATCTAGTGGACTTTTTTTTACTTGCCCATCTACCTAGCTCAAACATCTAGCCTTCCCTCACTTAATTCCATATCGTTTCGCCTGTCTTGCTACAAGTCACTCTTGATGATCCACGAGTCGCGCACTTGATTGTTAGGCTGACTCTCGATATGCATTTTTGGAAATCATGCCTCATCACGCCTGATTTCTTGAGTCACTCTCAGTATAGAGTAATTCTTGATTCAAAAATCGATTTAATTCGCCTTGATTTTTGAAATCATGCTTCATTTTCAGTGACACTCTTCGATCCTCAGACTGACTGACAATTCGTAACCGAAACTCGTTAATCTCAAGAGTCATTCTCGATTTGAAGACACAAACAAGAGTGCCCAGAGCGTTCTTTTCGACATCGACCTAACCTCTCGCGACTGTTTCATAGGCACGCACAAGCGAGGATTGAACTGTGTGTACTTCAAAATAAGCCATTTAAAAAAAAAAACAGAAAAGAGAAAAAAACTGACGTACGTACATACGCGTGAAAAACTTACTTGTTAATGTTGTTATAACTGAAAATACTGTTGTTGTTGTTTAGTTGTAGAGCTCGCCGCCGCTAGTCACTTTTCCTCCTCTTCCCCATTCATCCCCTTTGCCCGTTTTTACCCTAGGTTCCCGAAGTTATTTCAATAAAGCCTTGTCCTCAAATTGAAATCTACCTTACCCCACTTTTTTTGTATCACCGTTGTCATCGGCTTATCTGCTCGCTATCCAAGGCGAATCGAATCGACCATCGTTATCGTCATCCTGCAACTTTACACGGTTTCCACTAAGATTATTATTAATATTATTATTATTATTATTATTATTATTATTATTTTACTATTGTTCTTTGACAATTTATTAAACGTGACTTTTTTTACATATAATTAAGCAGATCATGAATTAGCGACTTTGCTTATCGAGTTGTGAATTATTATTTTTGTCTTTATTTAATTATAAACTGACGACACAACGTTACGCCGTTTAGGTTTAGTGAGGAGAAGAGAAAAAAAAATAGAAACTTACGTCTAACGAAGGTGAGACTAAGTCTCTGAATTGCGCCAGGGAGACAAGATTATATTTACAAGGAAAAGCGTGACATGATCGGTATGATTGCAAGTCATTTGCCTGTCACGTGTAATAAAAATAGTCCGCCTTTTTTTATAACTTTTTTTAATGTACATATAAAATCCATTATGTTGTTTTCGAAGATAGTTCGCGTCACGTTTTTCACGAACAACACGTTTTTTGTTGTTTCCAACAACAACACCTTAAGGTACCCCAGGGTACTTTAAGCGACGAAGCCATCAGGGTGCTTCCAAGTTTGAAACCTAAGAAAAAAAAAGTTTATAAAATATAATTTTTTCACGTTTCGTAGTTTACTGTAAGTAAGAAAATATTTTTTAAAGTCTCAAATAAAAAATAAAGTTGAATATAAAGGAAGAATAAAAATTAGAGATTATAAATCAAAGTTTCTAAATATTCAAGATGTGTAAACGAGTCTTTAAAAATCAAAGTTTTTGTTTACAGAAAATTGACTAGGTTGTTATGTTAACAATTAAAATTTTAAACAATTGGAGATGAAAATGAAAGTCTTTTATTAAATATCGAGATTCAAATATTTTGAATATTTGAGGTTAATATCAAAAAAGAAGGAAATAGAATAACTTTCTTCTATTAAGTTTTTTTCATCTGAAAATCTTCAATTTAAAAGAGATCACATCGAAAGATTATTAGAGCTATAGATTGATATATCTCTAAACAAACATATATTTTAGGTGTATGACGATCAAATGATTTTTAATTTTGACGATTTTTTAAAATCTCAAAGAAGAACAATAAAAGATTTTCAAAATTAACAATCGAAATCGAAAAGATGACATGGGTGACTTAATTCGAAAAGACTTAAATGAAAATACATAAATAATCTTAACCTTCTGCTGATGCGTTATCGTCAAAAATCGGCATTTTGAACGCCTTGGTAGGGACTATGGGCGATAAGTTAGCATCAGCAGAGGGTTAATTTTCACAAACTGATGATCGTGAGCATAAATAAGAGATTTCTGAGAAATCAATCTCGTAGTCCTATAAAACACATATTTTTTTCTTGTAGTTTTATTAAGTAAACAAAGAGACCAATGAGAATTGTGGTATTTTCTCGAAAATACCGGAAGCACCCTGAGAGCGAGGTTCGTTTAAAAAAAAAAGACAGTATTATGCGCATTTTTCCTTTCCTATTAGTACAGTGTAGACAAATCCTTTTTAGACAACACGACTTAGTTTAAATCGTTTTCTTTTTAATAATTATTAGTGTTTCTTTGATTTTCCCAATTCCTTCGCCCTCCCTCGACATTTCCTTATGTAAAGTAGAATAGTAGAAAGTTTTTGAATTTTTTTTAAGTATGAAATAAAAATGTTTTTCTGTCTCTATCTTTTTTTTGTCTGTTATTGTTTTTCTTGGTTTGTTTTTTCACTTCCTATATATATATATATATTTTTAAGTACATATCGCTCTCGATTATTTTTCAAGAACGACCAATTTAAGGTATATCAACGAAAGTGCTCCTGTTTTCTTAATCGAGCCTATATTAGTAATATATTTTGTTGGATGGGTCGCGAACCGGATTATGATTAACCGAGTTAACGACTTTATGCGTGTTTACTATTATTATTATTATTATTATTATTATTATTATTATTATTATTATTATTATTATTATCATTATTATTATTATTATTATTATTATTATTATTATTATTATTATTATTATTATTATTATTATTATCATTATTATTATTATTATTATTATTATTATTATTATTATTATTAACTTGTCCTTCTTTTTATTTACTCGAATGCGTTATCAGGACATAAGTGTTACTACTGATTCGTCGCGTTTGAATTAAACGACTTTTGATTATAACTCAAATAGTGTTTAAAAAAATTCGTCTAACATGTAATTTGTCTTTTTTTTTAATTTTTAAAATGTTTCCAAAGAGAGAATCTCCGGAGAGAATACGTAATTTTTGACGATTTTGAATAAAAGCTGAAAGTCTTTCATTAATTTTGATTTTCTTTATTTAGAAATCGTAATTTTTGTTTTTCGAAACTTTCAATATTTATTTTTATTTAAGAAAACTGACAAACAGATATTAGAAATTGGAAAGACTTTAAATTTAAGAATTATGATGATTCAAAACTTTAAAAATTCCTTATAAAGGTAAAAATTTTTTAAGTTTTGAATTGAATATTGTTAAATATTATTATTAGAATTTGATCATTATAAAAATGTGAAATTAAGCATTGTTTCGCCTTTGTTTGTTTATGTGACTGTTTTTTTCACTTTTTGTAAAAAAAAAGAACATTTAACATTCATCAAATTATATTTTTGACAATTTTAAAAAACTTTCTTTAAATGCAGTTTTGTTAAATTGAAATTTGAATATTTAAAAAAATGTTTGGACTAATAAAATAAAAATTTCGAAATCAATGGCTTAATTATGTAAACCGTAATTGTTTTCCCCTTCGTTTTTCACTCAGAAATTTTGAAAATTTCATTTTGACTGTTGTTACGTTAAACTAGGGTAAAAATGTGTAATTAAAAAATATTAATCACATATTTTTACGTTTAATTTTTTTGGTAAATTCTTAATGCACTAACGTATTAACTGTCAAATTGCCATTTTTCAAATTTCTAGGCAAAAACAATCTAAGGTGAAAGACGAAGATGATTTTATAATCGTCTACATAATTGAGCCCCAGGTCGAAAAATTCAGTGTAAATCAAATTAATAAAAAAGAAAAGAAATTTGCCAGATCTAAATGTGGACTTTCCCAATTTCCCATCTTACTTATTTTATAATGATCATCTTGTCGATGGGGGACAGAAAGATGCCATTCAAATATCAACTTTTTTATTCATTTTACGTTGACAGAAATGTTATATGAGATGTTAGTTTTTCAATTCTTAATTCGAATGGCACCTTTCTGTTTCCAATCGACGATCTGCTTCGGAGATTCTCGATACCATGATCGATCGATTATTCTTTGTCAAACAAACGAAATGAGAGGATTGAAAATGAACAAAAACTTTCACGTCTTCGAATGTCATTTAGTTTTTTTGTGGAAAAGTCAAAATTTGAAATTAACAACTCAGATGTCATCAACGATTAAATAATCATAATTCGTGGAAAACATTTTTGCGACGAAATATAACGTTGGGCGCAGATTAAAGTTGTTTAATTTCTTTTTGTACGTAGTTTGTAAGATTGTCATATGAGGTCGTTGCGAGGCAAAACTTTTTCACTTTCGGTACGTTTTATTATATCCTTGTTTTCACACATATTTTTTAAGAGAAAAAACCATCATTTTTCGTAATTAGTCCTTTTAAAAAAATCGATATGCAAACATTGAGCATTCGCATTGACCTTATTTTCTTACGCGTCTACGTGATCCCTGCGAATAAAATGAATAAATCTGTAACAAAATAAATGAATAAAAGAAAAAAACAAATTGAAAAATCGATCGATCAACAAACACTTGCCGACATTTCAATTTTCTTCTCTGCTAGAGGGGGGGGGGGATCAAATTGAACGACGCTATTTTTGTTAGGTTTGTGCACGATATCGTTGAAAAAAACATGCGACATTCTCTCTTTTTTGTACGGTTTGTTATGTTATTATTTAAAATGATAAACCCAATTGTTCTTAGTTTAAATGTAAATCATATTTTTGTTTGTTTTAGTTATTTTTTTGTTGTAAAATGCTTTTTAATAATATTTTCAGTTTACATTACATGGAATGATTGTCTTTTTATTTGTTATTTGTTAAACCTCTATTATCCTGATCCAATATTATTTTTATTTTTCATCTCCTTTTTTTTAAGGGCGTTGACAATATTTGGCGATAGTTTTTAATTTATTTATTAATTTGACAGAAATTTTGTAATTGAATAATTAACAGTCGTAGAATTAAATTGAATGGAGTTAATAAAGTAGTACTTTTCATTATTTAAATGAGAAAATATATTATTAAGAAATAAAGTTAAAAATTAAACGCCTAAGTCCAAGTCCAGTTTTCTTTTATTTTCCATTTTCATCAATTAGCGATTTCTTGATTTTTTATTTTGTAATTTATCAATTTGAAAAAATAGAACTGTGTTATTATTTTTTTGCTTTTTTCTGTAGTGTTTGGGTAACAATTGCAATGAAATGTTTTCTTTTTGCTCTTTTTTTGCAGAAAAAATTAACGAGAGATGGACAGGTAAAAGGTAAAATAATTAGCGACGAATCAGAAGTACCAAACTGTGGACCGTGTTTAATTAATCGATGTCTGAAAGGAAACTCTAAATTTGAATTAGCGAACAGTCGCTGATTCAAAATTGGAGAGAAGGAATATTGACCATGAGAACACAGGGTCTTGCTAACCGATTTAATTTCATTGAATTGTAAATTAAAATTCAGCACTATTCTTCTCTAACGCTGATGTCTCTTAGAGAATTTAATAGAGAATGGTAGCGTTGTCGGTCAACAAAAGACGTCCATTGAAGAAAGATCTCAATTTAACTCTGAATTCTCAATTTATTACAAGTCAATGATTCATTTATTACTTGAAACACACCTTAATTTAATTTAATTTTCAAGTTGAGATTCAAATTGTGAAATGTTGAATTTTCCATTTTATTTACAGACACTCATAAATTCGCCAATATTCAGATATTCTTGTGCATGAATGTATATTAAAAAACATATTTCTATTCTTAATTTTTCTAGAATATATTTTATTTGTATTGCGTAATTTGTCAATGTTTTCTTATCATTCTGTAGTATCTAACTTTATTGTTAATTTAATAATTATTTCATCTTCTTTTGTATATAGTCAGGGCTCGAACTAGGTCCGTAACTTTGCTTGAAGTCCGTAAAAGTCCGTTTTTTTTAAAAAAGGTCCGTAAATTCCGTAAAGTGTAAGATATAATTTATGTTCAAAATTCTTTTAAAAATTATCATCAAAATTTCAATTATTTTTAGAAATAATTAAATTCTTCACCTAAATTCAATTATTTTCAAAAATTTTCCTCAATTCAATGATTTTCAATATGTCTACTATTTTCATAAAATTTTCCAAAAGAATTCAATTATTTAAAACAAAATTTAATAAAATTCTACACAAACATTTAATTATTTTCAAAAAATAATAAAAATTTCACAGGATTTTCATTATTTACAAATTTTTTTAATAAATTTCTTCGCAATCATTCAATTATTTTCAGAAATAATAAAATTTTTACGGGGATTCATTTATTTTTATAAATAATAAAATTCATTGCAGAATTTCAATTATTTTTAATACAATTTCAATCGAATTCCTCGAAAAAAATCTTAAAAATTTTATTCAAATTCGTCAAAAAAATTCAGATATTTAAAAATTTATAGATAAAATTCTTTATGAGAATTCAATTTTAAGAAACATGCAATTATTCAATAAAATATTATTATTATTATTAATTTCAGTTTAATTTTTAGATTATATTTGAATTTTAAAATCATTAGAGCGTAAATTTTTAGAAATAATTGAATTTTGAAAAGGTTTCAGATTACAATCTTTGAAAATTTGAATTTTTCATATTTTTAACTAACAATTCTGTGGAATTAATTTTTTGTAGAAACTTTAATTGCAGATTTTTTTTATATTATTTGAAGTTTTTATTTTCTAATATATATTTATTTGAAGAATTTACGAACAATTGAATATTGTAAAGAAATGAATTTGAAAATTGTCACTGGTTCGAGCCCTGTATAGTGTAATTTAATTTTTCATTTCAATAGTACCTACCTATAATATATTTAGTAATTATACTTAATTAAATAGTTTTAAATTGTGAACAAGAAAGTATTAATTTTAGAACAATTATTCTATTGAATTCTTAATTGAATATAAACTTCCTTTCAATATTATCTATAATAATCGAGTTTTTTTAATTAAGATAACTGTGATATTGGATCTCAATATTTTGTCTAAACCAAAGGTGATACACTAAAATCTTCAATATTCTCTTTATTTATTTAATTTATTTATTTATTGGTACGTGTTTCTACATTTGTGTGACGTTTTGCTTTGCTTTTGTGTGTGTGATTGTAGACTATAGAATGAAAAGTTTCTTAAAAAGTTTGAAATAATTGTCCCCTTGTATAATGATAGAGGAGGGTAAAAAATAAAAATCCAAACGGCGTAACGATGACACTCCATGAGAAAGTGAAACACATTTTTTTAATAATATATTGAACATTTTTTTAAATACCAATTTTTTTTGAATAAAATAAAAAAAATATTAAACATAAAAATATTCAATTTTAATATTTGAATTACATCTGAATTAAATTTTTCTACGAAATTTTTTCGAATTTAAATAAAATACTAAAAGAAAAGAATTTTTCATCTTTATCTCGAAAATAGGAGCTTTCCAAAGATTTAAATAATAAATTGTTCCTGAAATAAATGAGTGCTAGTCGTCTTTAGTACGTGATCCTTGGGGAATAAAGAAGTGAATAAACGGGCACATATTAATAATTAATAAACTCTAAACTATTGCACACTTTTGGCGCTCGGCATAATTGATTATACTGGTTAATCGAGTTTTTAGAACTTATAGCGTTCGGATAGATAACATATATATTTTTGTACGTTCGCATGTGTATTTAACCAAAGCGCCAAGACTCTTCAAGAGGCAAAAAAAAAAACAAAACCGAATTTGAGTAACGGATGCAAGAAATAAGAACTGAAAAGTCGAGATCGTAATTTTTTGAAGAGAACAGCGAACGCGGCGCGCGGCGACTCTGATGATCGAAATGATGCATACACTATACTCTTCCCGGGCCCAAATAATGTTACTTGAAAAAAGAGGATACTTTGAATAGTTGATTACTATTTTTAATTATTAATAACACTCCGTATTGTTGCATGCCTAGCTAACGTTTAGTGATACCACGCGGTGGTTAAATACGATTAAGTACTATTATTAAAAACACAAAAAAAAATAACAAACTTCTTCGCTTGTAATGCGAGTGATTGTTTCGTAGATTTAAGCGGTATACATACATATTGTATACATAAATGTTACAATTGCATACACGTGTAACACGCGATTTGTGTCGATGAGAAATATTCCCTGTCTTATTTTTCTATTCATTTTCAAAAAGAGAATTTATTTCAAATAAAAATTTTATATTTTTAAATTTTTTCAATTTTCAAAAAACATTTTTTCTTTAAAATACATTTCTTGTCAGAAAATCAATATTAATAGTAAAAATCAAAAACTCTTTGCCTAAAAATTTTTTTTTAAATTCCTCGAGATGTAATAGGATTTTTGATTAAAGATTATTTGTCCTTTATAAATATGATAATTAATAAAGATTAAGGCACATTCGAAGGGATACTGTTATCAAACATTTTTATGATTTACTTTTAAAAAAAGGACAAACAAAGACGTGAATAAATCCCTCGGACTGGCTGTCGAAGGTTCTTGTTTAAGACGACAATCTATTCCGGTAACAAAAAAAAAATTGATCCTTTATTCGTGGAAGGCTCAATTTTCAAACTAAAAAATCGTCCCTCCTTGAGAAAATAAATCATTAAAATTCAAATAATTTTAATGACAAATGCTTTTTCTGATGAATGTTTTTAAATATTAAGAAAAAGAAAATTTATTATCATTCAAAGTATTTTTTATTGTTTCGCCTAAGGAATGAATAAAGAAAAACAAATTATTTTTGCATAACAAGTTTATCCCCAGGGATAAACTTTGAAAAATTTTATTTTAAAAATGAAATTCCAATTACTATAGATTTTAATGAACGAAAAAAGTTACATTTTAGAGTTTACAGTAAAGTTACATTTCTATTTTTAAGCATAAATAAACTTATTTTCTAATTCTATAAGCAAAGTTGAGATAGTATTTTTTCACGTCAAATTTTTCAAACATTCCATAATGTTTATTTTTAATTCATACATATATATATATATATATATACTCGCACTTGTGAATTCTTCAATAATTATAAATTTAATTAGTGTTTAGAAAAATTTGTTTCTTTTTTCTAATGTGTTTTCATATGGAGAAAAATATCCGTGAGTTACATATATAAGTTTATTAAAAATTTTAAACTACGAAAAAATCATATTTTTTCGAATAATTTTTATTAAATTATCGCGTTTAGAAGTAGAAGTATCGATCTTCTTTTTAAATTTATATATATATTTAAATAAATGTGATGTGCTCGGAAAAAAGGTACCTAAGAAGCGAATCATTTTAAGGTTACGTTTTTTGTTATTTTTACCTTAATTAAAAGTTTCTGTTTAATTGTGGAAAACTAAATTCAGTTGTTTTTATTGAGAGTTAATCCCCTTTGTGTATTTTTATTCAAAAAAATTATAAACAAAATCTAAATTTCTTTGCTTTTTATGTAGCTTTCTTCGGAATGCGTCATATATTATATAAACTGACGAAATTATTATTTATTTTGTTATTATTATCGTCTCTATTATTATTATATTAGTAAAATGTAAATACAAAACTTTTTTCCCTTTTTTAAAATAAAAAAATATACTTATTAATTTAAATATGAGAATTCGAGATAATGTTTCTTTATTTTATTTAAAAATTTAAAATATAATATTCTCAATTTATTAGAAAATAAAAATCTCAGAAAAAGCATCTCTGATACAATTATTAAAAATATCGGAAAAGCTTTGAAAATTGAAGCACGCCATCGACAACGAAACACCGGTAGTGACCGAAAAAACAAA